GAGTCGTTTGACTTCCAACAGTTGCTGTGAGACAGGAAGACGGTGGTTCAGGCCTCATCTCAGCCACATGCTCACTGGGTGATCTAAGGCATGCCTCATCCACAGTTTCTCCCCTTATAATAGAAGGTAGTAATCCAGTCCATAGCCCTGTTAAGCAAGCAGTGTTACTAAGACACTGTATGTTAAGTTTCATGAACACCGCAAATGCACTATATAAATGCTGAGCTTTTAAAATGAAACTTAATTATTATCACTTTTTGCAACTGTCCACTCAACAAGGACTTACCAGCGTAGAATGAAGCACTGAGGGTCTAACCAATATTATGGTAAATTTGCTCCTAGCAGTCATGTATCTTCAAGGGAGACTGCTCCCAGAAAGAATGTCATCTTAAGTCATCTAAGTGAGACCAGCTGTTTGGCCAGTCTCACCCACTGCATTCAAAGTGATGCAACACATGTACTCAAGAAAGCGTGGACATTCCAGAACCACCAGTGACGTTGGCAAGGGAGGGAGAGGACTTCCCATCTGTTCATTCCATTCTTAGTGATGATGATGATGATGTAATTCCCAGAGAAACCCACTGCTTGAACTTCATGTTGGTCAATGCCAAGTCTCTTTGGGGGGAAAAAGAGAGTTAATGATAAGATTATGGAGAACAATATCAACCTGGCTGGTCCTGTTCTCTCCCATCTTGCTCATGCCAAGTATTTGATGCTTCATCAGTATTGAAATAGTAGACTGGGAAGGGGGGGAGAGAAATATCTTACATGGTTATTTTCTCCTTTCACAGGTTCCTATCAGAGCCCTGTCCAATTTTGACAAGTTATACCTTGTACTGCTTACCTGGGATAGGCTGGCAATACTATTAGTTTACCGTCCACCTGGCTCACTCTTAGGATTCCTCACTGAGCTGATGAAGGTGGTGCTGGAGCTGATCATGGCAGTCTGCAGTTCTGTAATTTTGGGTTTTTTTGACATCCATGCAGAGGTTGCTTGCCTGGACATGCTCAGGACTTAATGACATTGTCACAGATTATATTCATCCCGACATATGAAAAGCAAAACCATGTGGGATTTACTTTTTTCTACTGCAGAGGAAATTGGCAGCCTGGTAGCAATGAAGAAGAGGAAGAAGAGAAGAAGAGATTGGATTTATACCCCGCCCTTCACTTGGAGTCTCAGAGCGGCTTACAAACTCCTTTCCCTTCCCCTCCCCACAACAGACACCCTGTGAGGTGGGTGGGGCTGAGAGAACTCTGACACAAACTGCTCGTTCAGGAACAGCTGTGCCAGAGCTTGTGACTGACCCAAGGTCACATCAGCAGGTGCAAGTGGAGGAGTGGGGAATCAAACCCGGTTCTCCCAGATTAGAGTCCGCGCACTTAACCACTACACCAAACTGGCTCTGTCACAGTCAGAACAGTGAGAACACTGCTCAAGGCCCAGTTAGATCTTTTCCCACACAAGGATGGTGGATCAGTTAGGATGGTCTGCTCTCATAGACTCGTGGATGCAGTGAAGTTCAGGAGTGAAATTCTGTGGTCAGATTCTGGAATTCTCTTGATTATTTAAGGAGTCACAGTAGCAACTGAAACAATAGACTAACATGGCTACCCATCTGGAATTTCCTTTTTAGTCTGGAATAACAAGATTGTAAGGCCCAAAGTTATTGACAAGATTGCTCCCTGACTCCTTGTCTACCTTTCTTGAAGTTCTCCTGTGTACTGGGGAGCTAATCGACAAGAAACCAATCAAATCACATGCAATCTTTATTTCATGAGAAAGTAAGCCATGGCAACATGACAACTCTATCAAAGTAAAACTAGGGATGGGCACGAACCGGGAAAATGTGGTTCAGTTTGTGGCATGTCTGGTTCATGAACCGTCACAAACTCTTAGAGGAGCAGAATAATCTTAGAGGCCAAATGATCTCTGGCTGACTCTCCTCTACCTGCCCTCCAAGATTGGTGAGGATTGGAGTCACGGGTATGAGTTATGCTCCCCCAAAGAAGGTGCCCCCCAGGAAAGTGCTTTATGGGGAAATTATGGCCTGTTATTTCCCCAGAAAGCACTTTCCTGAAGTTCTTTAGAGAGCTGTAACTTGGAGGGCAAGTAGAGGAGCATCAGCTGGAGATGCCCAGTGAGTTCAGTGTCTCTAGCTTGCACAGGATCCATTTTATACACTCCTGAACCTGCAGTCATTTTGACAGGCACAGGTTCAGGAGTGTATAGAACAGATCCTGTGCAAGCTAGATACATGAAAGTCACAGGGGACCTCCCCTGGATGCTCCTCTATACATCCTCCAAGTTCTGCTCCCCGTTGCTTTGATGTTTAGATTGAGTGGAGACAGTCTGTCTGGAAATGAATCCATTCACAAACCAGCATGAATCTCCACAAAGAGCTTGAAAATTCATAGAAAGTTCATGCCAGCTGACCTGCCATGAACTTAACTTCACGAACCATGCACTGTCCAAAATTCGCTGTGAACTTTACTTCATCAGCCAGTTTTATGCCTATCCCTAGTAACAACATGACGTTTCCACAATTTGTCACAGAAGAAATTAAAATGCATAATAATAATTTAGAATACCTCAAAATAAAACCATAATAATACACCTTACAAGTTGATAAGTAACTCATTAATCCAATGGCTACATGTCAGCTGTACTTTCTTCAACATGTCTCATTTTCATCTTGCTCTTTATAATGGCATCAACAAATCCCTAGTTTATCCCTATCTGCCAATAGATCTGACCTTCCTGGAAAATGAAAGATGATGGTCCTCAGAAATGTGTTGTGCTCAGCCTCAAATCTCAGGCACCGAAATGTCACATGGGACAAATCCACAATAGACCTACAGTCACAAGAGCAGACTCTTTCACTATACGGAGTCCCATCAAAGTGGCCTAAAACTGCAAGCAGTAGAATTTCTAGGCATGCTTTATTGACAGCCTTTCGATGCTCATAATTCATTATATTGGTAAAGTACACTTGAAGTGTTGGGGGGAAAGAAGCAACTGCCTTTAAAGGAAGGTTATTCTCATGGTACCTAGTAATCCAACATCAGTTTGAACACTTTAGTAAACCAGTCTTTGTTTTACTAACAATTTGGCTGCATGGAAACTAAGGCTCCTCATGTATTCATCTGAGAATCCAAGGGTAGCCACTAATCTCAGTACAAAACCACACCATGAGTTGAACTTCATATCTCCATGTGTCCAAGTTAGAAGACTCGGAGACGTACAAAAGATAATTTTCAACCAATAGTTAATGGATGCTTTTTAAATCTAGTCTGTTATTAAGGGTAGAGATAATTATACTCTGACCATAACTGAAGATGTGGAAGGCAGAGGAGCCAACAGCAGGTGGGCAAATTTGTTTTGGATGACTTCTAAGGGTTGGAGATTTCCAGAGTCCCAAATTGCTGCTCCATATAGAAGCTGTGGCAGACATTTTATTTTATTTTATTTTTAATCAAAAATTGGAGAAAACCAGGCAGCCTCCTCTCTTCCTATAAGAAGAAACCAATGAGACACAGTAGGAGCAGTGCTGAAGGAAAACTCAGGCTGAGTTAGACTGAACAAGCCATTGACCCTGTTTACAAGCCTATGTTGTCACAGCCTTTCCCACTCTGCCATCGTTAAATCTCTTGGAACGTCTACTATGAACAAAATAACAAACTGGATTATTTCAACCCATATTCATCTCCATCTGTCTTTCTGTCTTGGCTTAGAAAACCTATGGATTCAATTTTTTTAAAGTTCTCATTTGGAAAATTGTGTTTTGGGATACATTTAAATTTCCTAAAGCAGGACTCTTGACACACTGGTTCAAGTTTCCTGAATACATTTGTCTGCCACCACAGCAGTTGCAAGATACAGTCTTTTCTGTGGAGAAATCCTCCCATCCTCTGTTTAGTTAGATTATTTTATATAGAGAAAAGCAATATGTCAGCCCACCATCTGAGTAATTCTGAAAAAAGCCAATTCTCCACTCTCTTATATCTGTTCAGTGTCAATGTTATTCATTATGGCTGTTTCTAGAGCTAAAATGTACTCCATCTTCCCAGTATGTTTTTTATTTCTATGTGGTCAGGCCTCAAGTAAGATTTCACTGGAGCAGTTACAAATACCAGCTGCAGTCCTCTTTCCCAGGAGTAAGACCTATTTGAATAAAATTACTTCTGAGCAGACCTGTTTAGGATTGCTCTCACATAATATCAAGCTCTGGTTCATCAGGCGGTGAGCTAATTCAGAAATTCTGATTCAGAGGTGCAAAGTTGTGAAATCTGTACTAATACAGGAAGCCAAGTATAATACCCACCAGATAAGCAGACAGCATGTTCCTGACTGAGTAGTTATTTTAGAAGAAGTGACAACATAGTCCATCCCTAGATCCTCAATTTCAGTAACCGACACTTAATTTAAACTGCTAGATTACAAAAACTTCTGGTAATTGGTCCTCAAACATGCAGTTTGCTTTATTTATTTATTATTCATTCAGATGAGATAATCATTATCTAGCTTTAATCAGTTTGTTCATCCATGGTCATGTTTGGCCTGTATCCTTGAAATTGTTATTGTTATTGACAAAATTGTTATTGATAAAATTATTTTAAAAACTGAGATACCCAACCTTGTCAACACATAATTTAAACTACTGGATTACACAAATTTTGGGTAAGTGATCCTCACACATTTTAAGAATGCTTAGTGGGTGCCTCCACAAAATGGCTGCCATGGGAGTTGGGGCCAATCACAAAATGTTGGGAGGTTTCAAGACTGTTATCATCCAATGAAGGGGCAAGGTGGTGCCTCCTGTTCCTTTCTGAAGTGCCTTCTGTTCCACTGAGGTGAAGGAAAGTTGGGCATAGCTCTTTGAGGAAGAAGGAAGTGGGCATGAGCAAACACATGCAATATGTTGGGCACCACTGCTTTAAGAATGTTTGGCTATATGGTATGTAATTTTCATATAGTGGCCTACCATTTTGTATTTCAGGGAAAGGTCCATCTAGAGTTGAGGCTCAGTGAAGTCATAACAGATACTGGTGTCATTTGCCATAAGCTTGCTACACGGTAAGACTGATATGTATCAATAACTTGACAATGTTTACTTCCAGTGCTCTGACAGCCACTGTATATGTATGTTGATATATGTTAAATATAATTAAGAACAGTGTTTTTAAAGAATCTGTCCAAGGCTCAAATAACCATGGAACTAGCTCCACAGTCCCTGTAGGACTTCTGGTTTGCTTTCCCATCTCTGTACCCACCCCCACCCCCACCCCAAAATGCTACATTTGAAAATAAGGAGAATTTGTGATGCCTGCTATTCACGTTCTTTTTTTAAAGACAATTGGGCTGGAAATGGGCTAGTTTAGAGTAGTTCTTGGATCCTGACCATTGCTTGTAAGGACATCAGCTTCCTTCATAAATCATGTTATGTATTCTGTAAAAGTCTATTTTATATTAATTTACTTTTAAAAAATAATCTGTCAAAGTAAATCCTTGGTGTCAGTTTTAGATGAAATTCACATTTAACAACCCAGAATGGAAAGATGATATGTTTGTAGAGGCCGACTAACTGACACAAATGCCAGCCCTTTGCCATAAATTACATAGTAGGGTAAATAATAAGCCAGTATAAATTACCGTGGAAAAATCCCTGCCAGAATTTCCCGAGCCCTCAACTTGACCCTTATTTTCTGAAATACAGGAAAATATAAAATATTCCATACTTCTGACGATAATTATGAACATTGAACTAGAGGCATGGTAAAAAATGATCACAAACATGCTGTAAAATGTTAATAGGAGTTAACATATAATTCATTAACTGCAGTTTTTAAAATGGGATTTTAACAACTTTTTTTTTTTAATAAACAGCAGTACATTATTATTTCTGCATGCCAGACATGTGTTTATGGGTTGCATCTCCAACAGTAAATGGTTTGCTCAAGTTGTTAAACTGTTAAGTGAAAGTGTCCTCTTGACAAATTGCCTATAGTGAATATTAGGGTTGTAATTACATCCAGACTTGGAGTTGGATCCAGTGGGAAATTTCTGCTCACACTAGAGGCCTTGTATAAGAGGAGGCACAAGAAGATGGCCTCATTAGCCACTTGTGCTAATTCATCCATATTGTGTCCTCTCTTGGATTTGCCCATGTGCAAGCAGTTTTTCACAACCACTTTTTGGACACTAGAATATACAGAGAAGAAAGTGGTAAGTGTTGCACAAGATCTTACACAAGTGGATCTGCACTAAGTCAATTCATTCTGCTTGCTCATCAATGGATCAAAGCCATAGTCTTGAACTGTCTCCAACTGTGTATTGTTGCAAAATATACATGGAGTGGTTTGTAACATCACAAGTTTGCAGCGTTCTGGTCAAAACTATTCATTTTTCTACTGGAACAGAATTACACATTTCCTTTCTCACCAGTTCTCATTTTCTCCTGCTATAAGTTTGTTCAGAGGTCATTTCAGGGGGTAACGCGGGGGAACGCAGTCCCCCCAGGTGAGGTGCAGGGGGCGGGGCACATGACGAAGCCCCGCCCCCTGCTTCCGGCCGCCCCGCTTCCAGCCCTCATTCAGCCAGGAGGAGGCAGGAGAAGAGGGAGGGTAAGTTGCTTCCTCCCCGCCTCTCCCCACCCCTGCCTGCCTGGGGCCAGGGAGGGCCTTGGCGGGGCTTCCTTGCACTCCCGCCGGCCTTGCAGGTCCACCGCCGGGCCCCTGATGTCAGGGGATGTGGCATATGCTAATGAGTTATGCTAATGAGTTCTCCTAGCTCTTTTTCTACGAAATGACCCCTGAGTTTGTTTCTTATTTTTCATGCTGTAATAGTGTGAAGAGAGAGGGAAGGGTATGTTAAAACACCACCATGGACTAGAATGTGGGCAGCCATGTTGGTCAGAAGCAGCAGGACAAAGTTTGACTCCAGTGGCAACTTTGAGACCAACAAAGTTTTATTCAAAATATAAGCTTTCATGTGCAAAACACACTTGTTCAGACACTGAAAAAGTGCATTTTGCACATGAAAGCTTATGCACCACTTGCATAAGATCAGAAAATCTTGGCCACACAAGAGAATCCTATGACTGACTACTTCTTATGGAAACTTCTGCTGCTCTTGTAAGGGAAATATTCATATTGATGTGGGAAGGAGGAGCCATATTTGGTTCCCATAGACATGGTGCCAGTTTTCATGGCACAGGAGGGTACATGCTGTAACAGTTTCCGTACTGGAACGGTAATGCCGAGAGAGGTTTTTAAAGGGAAGGTATGGTGTGGATTTAATTTCTCCAGTGTGCTGTCACCAGTTTGGAGAAATATCTCCAACAAGCTGTGTGGCAGGATTGTAACTCTATAAAGGTATGTACGTCTTCCGTTAGAAATTCAGGGCAAGACCCTCTGTAGGCTGGAACGTCAAATTCGCAGCAAAGCCTGTTGATTCACTAGCTTTTTGTGGTAAGAGAGTTTAATTAGGTATGAAATTCTGCAAAAGATAAAAGCAGCAAGGAATGTCCAGGTTATCCTTTTTGTTTATGTGAACTGCAGGCAGAAGCAACACAATCGTCTTCTCCAGTGCAACATTTTCTTTATAATGGATATCTAATCAAATGAGTTGAAAGTTCTGTTCAGAGCCATATTTTATGCAGCCTTGAATTTGAAGCATTGGGTGCTGTTCACTGGGAACCTTTTGTATGTGACTTCATTGAAAAGAGCAGGAAGCATGCAAGGACACAGTGGTTCTGTTGTACAGCTTCCATTCATTACAGAGGAGCTTGTATCGTGACATCAATTCAGTCTGTGCCAGTACCTTTTGCACCAAAAATACATTTTAGGCTCCATTTTGAACACTCGATGAATCTGATTCAGCAGAAAATGTTGGATGGGGAACACCACAGCTATCACAAATTCCTAACAGGTTTGGCTTTTTCCAGAGTCTGAACACATCCTGCAACCTTTTGTTTTTGTTTTTTAGTGTATGAAAGTTACTATCTGTTAAGAACAAAGCCTGCTATGAGAATCCAGTGCAGTTTCCTTTTACTGCTGAGGGCTTTTCCGGTCTTTTATTTGATCTTCAGCTGATCTGAGTGCTCCTTTCCTGCTCTGAATGGCCCATGAAGTGGTTCAATGGCCCCTTCACTGCTTACAGTGGGAGTGAAAGTCTAGTACAGATAACAGGAGCCCAGGGAAGATAAGCTTGAAAGGAAGCACAATGGGAGAGGATGGAATAAGATCAGGAGCCCAGCAGCATAAAGAATAATTCCAGATTGGTCATGGGGCTTTTCTGTATATCATATAAAACTTTCCTTGTGTTTTCTTTTCACCCACAAAGGCCTCCTCTGTGGGTAGTTGTTTAATATTGTGGTTACTGTGCCAACTTAATTTTAATTTGAATGTTACATGCATTGCCTGAGATATATTGAGATTTTTATAAGCACCGTATAAATATTTATCTCATTTTAGATTGCACTGTTTCAGAAAGGGGGGATTTCTGCACTCCTTGCTTATAGAGAGAGCATCCAAGTACAGAGAAACATCCTAGTTCACCCGGACACCTCTGGGCTGGTGCATAATGCTTTCTGTCCCTTAACAATTGTTAAAGGAGAAGAGGAATGGGTCAGGGGATCATGTTCTCTCTCTCTCTTGCCAATCCCTTCTCTTTTATATATAGTCTCTCTGGCCACCCTTAATCATGATTTGTCATTACACCAGCCCTCGCGTTAACCATGGTTAACTCATTAGCATAATAGGCCACACCCAACAGCAGACACTCATTAGCATATTAGACCACACCCTTGATATCACAGCACATTAGCATATTAGGCCACATCCCATGTTACCAGAAGTGTGGTCATCCAGCCACACCCACCTTTTGCTTCTTATTCTGTTTACCTTGTCAAAACCCAGAGGTTTTTTTTGTAGCAGGAATTCCTTTGCATGTTCGGCCACACACCCCTAATGTAGCCAGTTCTAATGAGTTTCTGCTGTTGGGTGTGGCCTATTATGCTAATGAGTTCCTGCTGGGTGTGGCCAACTCAGGAGCCAGCCGGAACTCCGTTCCTGTGCCTTCCTGCCCCAAAATAGCCCTGGTTAATGCTAACCAGGATTCACTCCTAATCGCATCCTGTGCTCATTCATTTTTCTTTCTTGTCTTTTGTACCTCTGTCTGTTTGTCATGACACAATAATTGATAAGCCAGATGAGTTTGGATTTTCCTCCCATTGGATTTGCAGGAAATTTTATAGTGGTTCCTTATGCAGCAGCACACACTTTCGACATGAGTTTGCCATAGGGCTAGCTCATACATTCCTCTTCATCACTTGTTTATTGCACCATCAAGTGAAATCTTCCATCTGTGAACCGTTCCAGGTAGAATTTCATATTGTGCAAACAGAAGAGCTGCTTCCTTGTGCTAAATTAAGCATAGTGTATCCCAAGCCATTCTTCCACTGAGCAAGCCCTTTTGGGGTACTATGAGATATAGGAAGGAAAGTGATAGGTGTTGCACATCTTGCACAAGCAGAACTGCAATAAGACTGTTTACTGTCATTCACACACCACTGCAGCCAAGCCATTGACCATATAAACATGGCCATTTGTCTCTAGGAAATTTACAAACAGGGCATGAAATAAACTGCCTTTTCTGTCATCTGTCCTATCATCTGGTATTCAAAGAAATACTGCCCCAGGACTTGGGGGTTGTACTTAGTTACCGCAACCAGCAGATGTGCATAAGTCCATGACTTTGTCTCTTAAAAAGCTGGGTAAGCCAGTGACCGTCACAATGTGTAAAAATGAATTCCGTGCTGTGTTGAATAGAACTTCCTTGTATTACAAATAATAAATATATAATAAATAAATATCCTTGCATTTCATTTTATACTCGAGCAGTCATGGGTGGATTAGAATGCAGGGACTGGCAAGGCATTTGAAAACTTTCCGTGGCATGCACAGATTCTTCCCTGTGTTTCTGCCTTAAAGATCAGTGCTAATCTTACAATCTGTACATTCTAATATGGTATAGTGTCTTGCATCAGAAAATTTCCAATTATTCCCATGTAGCTA